GACGATCTTCTCCCAGAAGAATTTCCTCATCGCATCTCCCACCGAGCCCGGTAAGGGGATCGAGATGTACTCTCCGGCCTTCTACGCCGCTTGTACCTTCGGTGGAATCCTCAGCTGTGGTCTCACTCACATGACCGTTACCCCTCTCGATCTTGTCAAGTGCAATATGCAGGTATATGCTTTCCCCCATCAGATTCTTTTATCTCGACGTCTTTGTGTGGGTAGGTAGACAGACTTGTGTTCTAGGGTTGAACATAGGTTCCTCTGGCGGCTTGCTTATACATGCTCTTTGCTTTACCGGGGGAATGTACCATCTTATATATATTCCTCTTTTTCCACTTAGCTTACTTATTCGACTCTCATCTCATCTTATGCTGCACGTTGTCTTTGTTGCTCAAAATCAAGTCATAAAATGTTCATTCTGTTCCCTTCAGATTGATCCCGCCAAGTACAAGAGCATTTCGTCTGGCTTCGGAGTTTTGCTGAAAGAACAAGGAGCCAGGGGCTTCTTCCGTGGATGGGTCCCTACATTGTTGGGTTACAGTGCTCAGGGTGCCTGCAAGTTTGGTTTCTACGAGTTCTTTAAGAAGTACTACTCTGATCTTGCTGGACCTGAGTACACTGCCAAATACAAAACCCTCATCTACCTTGCTGGTTCTGCTTCTGCTGAGATCATCGCAGATGTTGCCCTTTGCCCATTCGAGGCTGTTAAGGTGCGTGTTCAGACACAGCCTGGGTTTGCCAAGGGAATGTCTGATGGATTTCCCAAGTTTATCAAGTCTGAAGGTGTTGGAGGGTAAGCTTTACTTCCCAATAACATTATCTCGCTCTTGTTAAGACTAGCCTTTGTACCTGATTCCTTTTTCCTGCAGTTTGTACAAGGGCATTGGTCCACTCTGGGGACGTCAGATTCCTTGTAAGTTGTTGTCTCAGCTTTGCAACTATTGCATAGTATTGTTTGGACTCATGAATGCTCTAGTGACTGTTTTAGTTGCCAAATGTGTCCTTGAATTCTACCTTTGTAACAGACACAATGATGAAGTTTGCCTCTTTTGAGACTATCGTGGAGATGATCTACAAGTATGCAATCCCGAGGCCGAAGGATGAGTGCAGCAAGGGTCTACAACTCGGGGTGAGTTTCGCAGGAGGTTACGTTGCTGGGGTGTTCTGTGCTATAGTCTCTCATCCTGCAGATAATTTAGTGTCCTTCCTCAACAATGCCAGAGGAGCAACCGTTGGCGATGTAAGTCTCTCTGTTTCTGTTTCTACCTTTAACTCGATGCAACTTGTGGTATTACTTAAGTGTTGGAACAATGTTTTGACATGATCCTTTCAACAGGCGGTGAAGAAGATAGGAATGTTGGGTCTATTCACAAGAGGGTTGCCTCTACGAATTGTGATGATAGGGACATTGACGGGAGCACAGTGGGGTATCTACGATGCTTTCAAAGTCTTTGTTGGCCTGTAAGTTCCCTTCTTTGCACCTACTCTGTTTCAGAGGCTCTCCTTCTCGACCGCTAATGATTCTCTCTTTTCTTTCAGTCCTACCACTGGTGGTGTTGCTCCCGCGGCTGCCATCACTCCTGCAGAAGCTAAGGCCTAAACAATGACGAACAACAAAGGGTCTCTCTTACAGTAGCATTTTTCTCTTATTACTAAAAATAAGATAAACCGGACAAGGATGAAAAGATTTGAGTAACTCAGCTTGATCCCTAGTTGATCAGTGCAAAAAGAAATCATTTTTGTGTTCCCAAAATCAGGCAAATGCTCTGTGGGCTATACGTGCGTACTGCTATTTTTTCATCTTTCAGTTTCATGCATTTTCTATGAGCCGCTTTAGTTCCATCTTTGTACGATGTAATGCTTTACCTTTACCTTCTCTAACTCTATGTCTCATAGCTGGACCATTTCCATACCTGATCCCAGCTTTGATTACGTTTCCAGTTCGGAGAGAAAAATTAATCAGACCTAACCGGGTTCGAATTAGATAGATTCTTATAGGTTCAGGCCAATTAAACCTTGATTGGCTGAACTGGCTCATCCATGGACTGCAAAACAAATTTCCATTCAGATTGAGTCATTATTTGACGCTCAAGGCAACGGCTGTTTGTAGGTGATCCGGGAGGGGGTCGGGTGTTGTCTGCGGCTCAATCTATTTTCTGTGTACAAGTCGTTCAGACAAGGATATGGAGCTCTCCATGACTCATAACAATAGCAAGAGCTAGTCAATAACTTGTTTAACAGAATTTTCGGCACAAATTGAATATAATCCAGTACCATGTTCGAACACCAAATACATGAACTGACATATAGTCATTTTCTCTTCATACATGACTATCTAACTTTCAAATACCATATCCATAAGAATAAAGCACAGTCCCATCTTTACAAAAAAATGGCTGCCTAATAAATTTTCTATTACTTCTTAAAATCAGTGAAACTTATATTCTGAATCATAAGAGGCAAAGTTAAAAGTGGAGCAAACTGAGATCCCCGAACGATTTGTTTCTAAAACAATAATTAGCAAAAGCTGCACAACCGACGAACTCTAAAACAGTCCTCTGCATTTAAAAAAACGCTCAAGTGTTGGTATAAATCTTACAAGTTTGGAAACTGTATGTGTTTTAGGCTTTTAGCTGCCAAGCACAGCACCACCCAACTGTTCATCTTTCTTGGCTTCACAACTCTTAACTTACCTCTTTTTCTTGCTGCTTGCTTTGGCTGCGTTGGACTTTGATGGTGTAGCTATCAGATAAATGAACAGAACCACAAACGAGACCACCGAAACGAGCGATCCATATATAACCACCAACCTCTGTGAGATGACCAAAATAAGGTAGGTAGAGTTACACATGATCAAACTGAGAGCTATGACATATGATGTTTTTTTTAAATTAATACAAGGCGAATGAGACATCAGATTACCTTAGCCTAAAGATTTGTTTGGCAGCAGTGAGAGCAACATTAATGGAACAACACAAGAGAACAATGGGAAGTTAATTAACTGAGCAAGAGGTTAAGGATAGGTTACGAGAAAAGATGTGTGGTAGCAACTTGTACCAAGTAAAGTTTATCAGTCGGAGGTCTTTCCGCAAAGATGTCTAGAGGTAGTATTGGAGTCGAGTATGTTTGCTACAAACAACAACAAAAAGGATAAGAAGAGTATGGAAGACAGCAGTTGGAGTAGAGAATTACTTGTCATAAAAAAAGACTCCTCCAGCAGGATACTTGCGAAATGAAGAAAGCTTAGGAATGTGAAACCTGTAGAGCAGTCTTGGTGGGGATGCGGAAAGTAACAAGAGCAGGTGCACCGTAGACCTTAGCCGCCAATTCAAAAGAATACCTCCACTGCATAAATTAGTGAATAGCGAGATTAGTGGACAAAGAAAAGGCACTCATGTTATGGGTGAAGGGAAATTCTCAAGCATCAAGCCTTTCCCATGATCTTGAAGTCTTTCCACTAACGACTTCAAATGTCTTTTTATCTCAGCTACCGTCTGTAAGAGTCACATCATAGGCCGTCCTGAGATTCAACAGCAGCGGCAGTCCTGAGTCCTGACCCATCGGAATCGGATCAATCAATTTCAGATCAACAAATGGCTATATTCCGACACGCAAATACCTATCTGAACTGATCATCAGATAGGTATTACACAGTGGTTCGTTCCTTGAATCAATGCATATAGATTTGAATTAAATCCCCAAGGTTTATCAGAATCGGAAATAAAGGGAGAAGGAGAAAACTGACGAGGACCCTTGGTTGTAGATGTCGATGGAAACCAAAACGTGCTCGGCGCCAGATTTGAGTCTGTTAAGACTCGCTTTCTTGTGGACAAGCATGAAAGGTACTTCCGTGGTCGCAGAAGAAGCTGAGAGAAGCATGAAGACCGATATCATAAGTTTAGCTACGGGGATCGCCATGAATCTGCTCTTCTCCAAAATTTTATTGAAAGTGAAAGAAGCCCGTAGTATTGGGCCTTGGTTACATTTCAAGTGGGCTTTAGAAACGCCACACAGTCCCCTAGCTGAAGACGAAAACGGCACGACTGCTGCAGGTGAGATAGGGACCCACACAGTCATGACATCTTCGTTTCGGCGTATAACGCTGCACCACAGAAAGAAACCCAGAAATCTTCCGTTTAAATTCTTCTCCATGGACACAGCTAGCTTCTTCCATGGCGACCACCGGATTGCACATGCTCTCTGCCCTCGGCTTCCCCAGCGGAGAGATGCACAAGCACTCCCTTGGAGTAGCGTCACGCCGATTCTCCGTTTCTGTCTCCGCTTTTAGCTTCGACCAGTGGAGAATTCCGCAGCGATCCGCTAAGAGCTTCTGGGACTACCTCGAGGCGGCTAGGGATTTCATCAGACCGGAACACAGCAGCCCGAGCCCGTCTCGCTGGTTCTCTCCCCTCGAAAGCAAGGCTCGATGTGACGGCTCCCCGCTGCTTCTCTTCCTGCCTGGTTAGTCTACTTGCCCGATTCATATCCTCCGCGAAGCAAATGTGCAATTGCTTTCTCTCAATTTCAGAAACTTGCGTAGGTATCGACGGAAATGGACTCGGGCTAATAAGGCAGCATCGGAAACTCGGACAGTGAGTACCTCGATATCTGATAGTTTTTGAAATTGCTATGGTGCTTGATTGTGCTGAGGTATGCTTGTTTTCTCTCGCCTTTGTAGGATGTTTGATATCTGGTGCTTGCACATACCACCCAGCAATCGTTCTTCATTCACAGGTAGTATTGCATTCTGTCAACTGTTTATTAGATTATTGTTTGGGCCGCCAGATGATTTATCTAACACATATTGAATGCTTTAGATCTAGTCGGGATGGTTGAAGCAACTGTCAAATCTGAAAATCAAACATCACCCGGCAAACCCATTTATCTTGTTGGAGAATCTCTCGGCGCCTGCATAGCACTCGCCGTTGCAGCCTGTAACCCTGACATTGATCTTGTCTTGATTCTTTCAAACCCAGGTGACGTTCATGTTGTCTTATTATTACTAGGAGGACTTTAGCATTTTGAGGTCTTAAACTTGGATGAATCAATCTCAGTGTAGTGGCTGCCTAGTTCACATCTTTATCACGCTGACACATGCTTGTTTGAACTCATATATTGGTTACATGGTTATATGCCAACTTTGAGTTTTCACCACGTCGTTTAGATTGATCTAAAGAGTATTGTTGCATTTGCAGCTACATCATTTGGAAATTCTTCGATGCAGCATCTTGCTCCCCTGGTTAAAGTCTTGCCAGACCAACTTGATCTTGCATTTCCTTCTGTTTTAAGCTTGATTCCAGGTTGGCTCAAATTGATCCATTATCATATTTTGGAACTCTGAGAAACAAATGGGCCCTTCCGTTAATTTGATCTTTCCACAAGATGGTCAAACATCTTTATAAACTCCAATCAAAATGCGGTTGAATTGTATACTTTGATCCATTAACATGCGAGTTTTGGTGATAGAAGACATGGTTTCTAATTTCATAGCTGCATAAAAGCTCTCTTGGAATTTTAAGGTGGTCCTATAAAAAGGATGATTGCTCACTGGGTCAGGGGACTTCCGGAGAGTGAAACAGCTGCAAACATTTATCAAGATTTGGTGGCAACATCGACACTCACTTCTGTATGTGACAAGCTCATTTAAAGTAGGTCGTTAAGTTTCCAATGTTATCAAAAATTTGCTTAAGAATCTGACTATGCAGATCCTTGCTGATACATTTCGGAGAGAAACACTTCTGTGGAAGCTCAAGTTGCTTGATGCCGCTGCTCTGTTTGCGAATGCACATCTTCATCTAGTACAAGCTCAGACTCTAATTCTATCCAGGTTCGTAGTATCAATCACATCACAGGTTCCTCTAATAATCATTCAAATTTCCACCAGAGTATAGCAAGTAGGCCGAGCTAACTTGTTTGAAATTACAGCGGAAATGACCAAATACTACCCAGTAGATGTGAAGGCAAACGACTGCGCAAAAAACTGCGTAAATGTGAAGTCCGTTCATTCAAAGACAATGGCCATTGCCTTTTTCTGGTATATCTATCTTGGTTGTCTCCACTCTGCGCCTTTCATTCAAATACAATGGCCAAAACACTAAATTTCATCTCATTCAAAGTTGTAATCTGCGGTGCTTCCTAAACTCTCCCTGTGCTTTTGGATATGACAGGAGGATGGCATTGATCTGGTCAGTATCATAAAGGCCACTTCTTTCTACCGGCGTGGGTCTCATCAAGATTACATCTCCGACTACATTCCACCAACCATCTCTGAGTTCAACAAATGTTATGGGGTCAACAGGTTACTACACATAAATGTCTTGCATGATTACTGTAGTAGAAAAGAAACAGTTTGATTGATCTTGATTTCTTTTATGGCGATATAGGCTTCTTGAGGTGATCATGGGCCCTGTGTTTCTGTCGACCACAGAAGATGGGAAAGTGGTGAGAGGGCTTGGGGGGATACCATCGGAAGGACCTGTACTGTTGGTGGGCAATCATATGCTTCTGGCGAGTGACAAAATATCACTGCCAGGTCAATTTGTTCACGAGAGGAACATCAACTTGCGGCCTCTCGTGCATCCCATGATGTTTACGAGACTGAGAGATGGATTGTTACCTGATGTGTCAGTTTATGACACGCTCAGGATGATGGGGTCGGTCCCCATCTCGGCCACTCACCTCCATAATCTCTTGTCTGCAAAATCCCATATTCTGTTGTTTCCAGGAGGCATCCGGGAAGCTCTACACCGCAAGGTGAGTAGATAACTTCCGGAGTGGAGTCTCATAAATGGCAGCAGATACTTTAAACATCTGAATGGGGTTTTTATATATCAGTATGTCATCGTTGGGTTGTATTTCATTGTTGAGGTAGTGAAAACAAGTTATCACAATTTATACTCAATAACAGGGAGAAGAATACAAGTTGATGTGGCCAGAGAAAGCGGAGTTTGTGAGAGCGGCAGCCAAATTTGGAGCCAAAATAGTGCCCTTTTGTGGGGTTGGAGAAGATGATTTCTTAAGAGTAAGCATTTTGCATCCATGGCATGTGTAAAATATGTAGCTGGCGTGACAGTGTGTAACGAATGCAGGTAGTTGTGGACTACAATGCCCAGATAAAGGTTCCAATTGTTAAAGAGGTGCTGAAAGGAGTTACAGCAGAAGGCCCAGTGGTGAGGTAATGTGAATGGAATTTAGTAGAGAGTTAACATATGACATTGGTGTGTTATATCAGTTGTCGAAATGGATGTTGGTGTGTGACATATGACATGGTTGGTGTTTCAAAGGGGAAGCGTGGAAGGAGAAGAGGGGAACCAAGACTTCCACTTGCCAGGAGTGATACCAAAGTGGCCAGGGAGATACTATTACTACTTTGGGAAGGAGATAGCGACGGGAGAGGAAGAGTTGAAGGATAGAGAGAAGGCGAAGCAGGTGTACGCAGAAGTGAAGAAGGAGATTGAGAGATGCATAGAGTTTGTGAAACAGAGAAGGGAGGAGGATCCTTACAGACCTCTCTTGCCCCGTCTCCACTATCATCTTCAGCACGGCCTCCTCACCCAAGTCCCCACTTTCCCCTTATGAATACCTTGAGGCATTTAGAGTCTGTTCCTCTCTCAATGTTTGGAAAAGGTTCATTTCACATCATGAGCCATGTGCAAATATAGTCATAGTCCATAACATTTGGGGCTCTCATCTCATGAATCATATGATAGCTTGCCCACATTTGTCAAATTTTTCCTAAAAAACAAACTCTATCACTTTTGGGGTAAACTACAGGTCCTAAAGGAGAGACAGTTTAGTCTAGTGCTGAATCAACTCGGGAATGAGCTTGAGAAGAAAAGAGAGCTCTCTCTCAGAGAAGTTTGGCTTTGGCTTATTAGTGTCATCAGCATCTCTCGTGGATGGCTTCATCATCTCCCTCACCGCCTCTGTCATCTCCTCCACGTGATCCACAATCACTCCCTCAATTCCCATCAAATGCTGCATATAGACCGCCTCTGGTACGTTGTTGAGCTTGCCGTATGTCATGAGGGAGAGCTTGGATTCTTTTATCTTCTTGACGATGGCTGGGTTTCGGAATACTCCCTTCACCTCCGACACAATCCCTTCAAGGCCTCCTTCTACGCATACCTTGATTGCTTCCTCCAGCGAATTCCTTCTCACGTCGTAATACATCTCTGTTCCCCCGTTTGTCAAGAAGAAGACCTGTTCAATCCAGAGCACGTAAGCAAAAAGTGTCTAGATTTTGGGATCATCATCGATGAATGGCACTTACGGGGTAGGTGCTCTGCAACTTCCTGACAAGAAGGGCAGCATCGGGGTGAAAGCTGGAGAAGATGATTGGTCTGTCCTTTCCAAAATCAGACACAACCTGTCACATTCATAACCCAGTTATTAAGCAATTGATGCCAACCAACCAACCCACCTAATCAGGGTCTAAGTAATTTTGTACCTGCAGGATTGGGAGGACAAGACGGGAGAGATGATCAGAGGTGTAGAGGAGATTGTCGTCAAGCTTGAGCTCGACGTTGAAACCCAACTTGGGATCGACTTTCTCAAAGGTCTCCTGGAGAGTACAGAGAGGGTCGTCTCCTTGGACGCTCCACTTGAGGATCTTCCCTTCCTTTGACTTTCTCAGCAATGGCTTCCCTCTCTTGTCGGTTTCCCTCTGCGGGCCGTAAGACATGAACTCCGACAAGCTAAGCTCCGTGATCCTCTTCTCGTAAACCACTCCCTGTTCCTCGGAGTAGATGAAGTCGTCGTGGAATATGACTGGGCAGCCATCTCTGGTGACCTGAAGAAGAATAAGAGAAGGGAGAAAATAAAGATATCTCTTATTACTTGGTCATTTTATTTTTTTCCAGAAGAACAAAAAAAAAAAAGTCAAAAAGAATGAAGCCCCACGTGGTAAGGCCGGCGGTCACGTGGAGGAAACAAAAAAGCAGCGAACCGATACCGAACATGAACATGGAAAATAAGATGATTCCA